GTATAAATAAAAGTTAGTTTAGTTTAGGTTTCCTCCTGTAGTAACACTGGATCAATAAGAGATGATCCTTACTGGACCTCTAGGAAGAACAGTTTAGAACTGATAGAGCCATCCAGTATAAATAAAGTTAGTTTAGTTTAGGTTTCCTCCTGTAGTAACACTGGATCAATAAGAGATGATATTCACTGGACCTCTAGGAAGAACAGTTTAGAACTGATAGAGCTATCCAGTATAAATAAAGTTAGTTTGGTTTAGGTTTCCTCCTGTAGTAACACTGGATCAATAAGAGATGATATTCACTGGACCTCTAGGAAGAACAGTTTAGAACTGATAGAGCTATCCAGTATAAATAAAGTTAGTTTAGTTTAGGTTTCCTCCTGTAGTAACACTGGATCAATAATAGATGATCCTTACTGGACCTCCAGGAAGAACAGTTTAGAACTGATAGAGCTATCCAGTATAAATAAAGTTAGTTTAGTTTTGGTTTCCTTTGGAGCGATAAGGGATGACAGACTTAGAAATGTAACCTTCAGCCCTAATAGAATTAGTTTACTTCAGTGTTTTACAAAATAAAAGTATATTTCAAAGTAAAAATTGCTCTTATTTCTCTCAGCAACTACTCCAATTGGTGGTTTCCCCGCTGGCATTACAAGTATGGCAACTGCTACACGTTCAATGGAGGAATTGATGAAGATTATGAACCAATCAGAGTCTTGAGTACGAGCAAACCTGGACCCAGTCAAGGTGGTGTATACGGTTATAGAACTTAGTCTCTTAATTGGAGTCTTTGAATGTCAGTTGAAGTGCCCCCCAGGACAAAGTGCCCCCCCCCAAGGACAGAGTGCCCCCCCAGGACAAAGTTCCCCACCTCTTCATCTTGGCGGCCTGTCAGTGAAGAATGTTGTTTTGTTTTTAAACAGGTCTTTCATTACGGCTCAATATTCAGCAGGAAGATTACCTGAAGTACGTGAGTGATGAAGCAGGCGTGCGGGTTATACTACATGACCAAGGAATGATGCCTTTTCCCTACCTTGAAGGATTCAGCGTCAGTCCTGGGACAGCCACGTCTGTTGGCATACAGAAAGTAAGTTGGGCTTATGAAATATGAACTAGCCTAACTTCATTTATACTGGATGGTTCTATATCGTTTCTAAATTGTTCCAGTGTTACAACAGGACGAACGAAATCTAAGCTAAACTAACTTGATTCATACTGGATAACTCTATCATTTCTAAATTGTTCTCTCTAAAGGTCCAGGTCATCTATTCTCCAGTGTTACTACCGGATGAAACCTCAGCTAAACTTCACTTTATTTCCACTGAATTTCTCTATCAGTTCTAAACTCCTCTTTCTAGAGGTCGAGTATGTGTCATTCTTTAAGGATACCAGAGCACACGAAGAAAAGCTGCAGTGTTTGCTAGAGTCAAACTAAAAGCACTCTTCTCACATGTGGGTGAGGTGAAATTATAATGAAACAACTGGATATTGCCGGAATCAAATTCTAGTCACAAAGATCAACGGAATATATGTTCCAACACGCATATAGATTATCTAATTATTTAAACTCTCTAATTATTCTCCTTTTTGTTTCTTATTTTAGACGGTGATCTCAAGAGTGGATCGTTTTGGCAATCACACATGCTGGAATGTTGATGGACTCGATGAGGATAATATTTACAGAAAGTTCCACCAAATTACCAAATATACACAACAGGTTTGTTTTTTAATCTCGTTTCTATGTTCTTGCCTTGCTGTTTAAATATTACCATAGTCAGTCGAGATGTGGATTGAAACTCTGCAAACTTCAATATACAGTACTACACTGGTGTCAGAACAGCTTAATCATATATTTGTTGGGGGGCGTTGCTAATTTTCAGTTAAGTTGGGCCGTAGTCTTCAGCTAAGTGGAAAGATGACACACACAACATGATCCGCCATATAGTACTATTCATATATTTAATGTTAGGAGCGCTAAAACCTACCCAGCCCGACCACTGAAGGATTATTTCGTTGATCACAATGTACCAACAATGAACATTGATCAACGAAATTGCAATCAACGAATATTTTTTTGTTTACGTTGCCTTTTACATTGTAGGCAGCGATCAAGAATTTTCGTATTACTATCTTACTCTGATATGTTGTTTTTTTTGGAGGGGGGGGTGGGGGTTTCGGGGTGAAGTTATTTCTGGGGGCTTTAACATCCTCCTGTTAAACCGCCCCTGATGTTCATTGGATGATTGCTCCACTATGGCAAGATTGTTTCACCACCTTCAATCTGCCAAATATTGCGTGTACTGTATGTTGCTGTTGTGTTCCACCGAGTCTCCTGTGTGAACAGTGTGAAAACAATGATAAGACATTGGAACATTTTATTTTTCCAGACGTGTCACAACTCGTGCGTTGGTAAAACACAACTTGATGAATGCGGTTGTTCTGAATATTCTTACCCGTCAAATGCGTCGGCCTGTGATGCTTTTAATTCCACAATCCGTAAGAAAATTGACGTCATAATTTGATAATTGAATAATCAAAGTATATATGTGAGTTAATGGATGTCAACAGGCATGAAAAGCTGATTATGTCCATTTTTCTTCAATAGGGAAATGTTTATGGAAAATCCACCACAGATTCAACGAGGACAAACTTCCCTGTATGGAGGAATGCGGACAACCTTGCCGGTAAGATTTGAATCATTTGTTCAATCAAATACTGCATCCAAACGTATTTGTATATATCTGTTTATGTTTTCCTGAAGGCAAATACAGATCATTTGCAGAGCTTAATCGGGTTGTCTTTTCCGAACCAATTCATTTGATGAGTTATTTGAACATTTGTTAACTTCCTGTATAAGCTTCCTGTATGAATGCGCCAATCAGCTTTCGTTTGGAGCAATTGACCAATCATAGCTAAGAGACAGGGAGTGACCAGAAATGATCAAATACACAAAGTTGTGGATAATTGGTTTTGTGTCTCAAATCAATTGGTTCATGTGAGCAAATGAATTTGTAAAATATCACTTTAAGAACATTTCCATTGCCACACCCTAAAATAAACCCTTACCCCCATCGTAAACCTGATGAAAAACTGTACTCCATTCTAACAGTTAAACTCACACAGGAAGATGTCAAAAAGATTAAATAAATATAAAGAAAAAGATAATCTCGACTCCCATTTTTCTTTGTGCAAGGATACTTGACAAACTATCAAGTTCTTATGGATCTAATATTTATCTTTTACATCGTGTGAAAACATTTATCACATTTCATTTAGTGAAAACGTTATTCAAAAGACAATCAGTATGTCTCAATGGCCATCAACACCTTATCAAGTATGTACCGTGCTTCCCCGATATATTTTGCCCAGTTTTAACCTGGTCTTTTACAGAATTGCCCTCCTAGACACAAAAAACTAGTTTCTACAATTTCTCGTTGTTCTTTGCAATGTCAAAATGAAATATTTTTACCTTATGTTTATTCCTGGATATTTCATGTTTTAACACTAAGTTCATGTCTAGATTTTGTCCAGTTTAGTTGGTATTCATTGTTTAATATTTTATGTTTCTAGACTTATGAAAAGGAAAAGAATCTTAACTTCTCTACGTAAGTACATCTTTGAAGGACAATACTTTCAAAATATATAATAAGATGTACATCTTTGATGGACAATACTTTCAAAATATATAATAAGATGTACATCTTTGATAGACAATACTTTCAAAATATATAATAAGACAACCAGCTCTAATGTCGTGACGTGGTTACCACGCTTGCCTTTCAACCTTGGAGAGCCGGGTTCAATCCTTGGTCGGTCCTCTACACTCAAGATCTTAAAATATTTGACGAGAAAGTGCTAGCTAAAGTCTCGTACACAAAGTATAATCCATGCAGTATTGTTCACAGCTTATTGTATTTTGATTTTAGGCAAAGTTCTTTGCTTTTAAACATTTTCTACAACGAGCTCAATTATCAAAGAATTGAAGAAAGCTTCGTATACGATGTAAGTTCAATATGGATTATATAATTTATATAATCTTGAGCTGTCCGGTGTATAGGTATTAGAGAGGTTAAGATACCCCGGTTCCGATTTTCGGATACGAGTATCGCCATTTTGTTTAGCAATTTTTGGTGATGTCAGCATTTTTACCCGTAAATGGTATTTCCCAGAGTGGAAGATGAAACAGTCCTCTATCATATATTTGAAAGATAACTTTAAAAACGACCACTGTATCACACCACAGCACACCACACCATACCACACCATACCATACCATACCACACCATACCATACCACACCATACCACACCACACCATACCACACCATACCATACCATACCACACCATACCATACCACACCATACCATACCACACCATACCACACCATACCATACCACACCATACCACACCATACCATACCACACCATACCACACCATACCATACCATACCATATCACACCATACCATATCACACCATACCATATCACACCATACCATATCACACCATACCATATCACACCATACCATATCACACCATACCATACCATGCCATACCATACCATACCATACCATATCACACCATACCATATCACACCAGACCAGACCAGACCACATCATACCAGACCATACCAGACCATACCAGACCATACCATGCCATACCACACCACACCACACCACACCATGCCAAACTACACCACACCATACCACACCATAGTTATACCCACCCGGGTTAGCCTAACCTGACATGACCATAATATTATTTTTATCTTCCAGGAAATAAACTTGTTAGCTGACGTAGGTGGACAGCTGGGCTTGTGGATCGGTGTTTCAGTAATCACAGTTTTTGAACTGATTGAATTATTCGCGTTGATCCTTACTCGACTCTTTAAACGTCGCAGAACTGAAGATCGTGTAAATAACATGGCAATTCCTTGACGGTGGGTGAAAATTTTGGTTTTTATTCAAGACAAAGTAATGCATAAATTGAAAA